AGCAGGAAGTGGAAAATGAAGGGGGGAAATTGGAGGGGGAGACGAACCATGAGAGACTATGGACTCTGAGAAACAAACTGAGGGTTCTAGAGGGGAGGGGATAGGGGGATGGGTTAACCTGGTGATAGGTATTAAAGAGGGCACGTACTGAATGGAGCACTGGGTGTTATATGCAAACAATGAATCATGGAACACTACATCAAAAACTAAAAAAAAAAGAAAGAAAGAAAATTCCCATTTCCAGATGATTTCACTGGTGAATTCTATCAAACATTAAAAAGAAATAATACCAATTTGATATAAACTCTTTCCAAAATTTAGAATGAGGGAATGCTTCTCAACTCATGTTGTAAGACCAGCATTACCTTGATAGCAACCCAGACAAAAACATTACAAAAAAGAAAACTAGAGACCCTTCTTCAGAAAAATTTAAGCAAATTGAATTCAATAATATATAAAAAGGATAATACATTATGACCAAGGGAGGTTTATTTCAATGCAAAGTTAGTTTAACATTCAAAAATCAGTGTAATTCAACATATTAACAGACTAAAAGTAAAATACCATATGATCATGTCAAAATATGCAGAAAAAGGGGTCCCTGGGTGGCTCAGTTGGTTAAGCATCTGCCTTTAACTCAGGTCATGATCTCGAGTCCTGGGATCGAGCCCCACATTGGGCTCCCTACTCAGTGTGGAGTCTGCTTCTCCCTCTCCCTCTGCTCCTCCTCCCTGCTCATGCTTGCTCTGTCAAATAAATAAATAAATAATCTTTTTTAAAAATATGCAGAAAAAGCCTGAGAAAATTCAACATTCATTCATGACACAGTTTTCAACAGATTAGCCGAATGAACTTCTTCAATCTGATAAAAAAATGTATCTATTATAATACTTAAGGTTCAATCATTGTGAAAAAGGCAAGAAAATTCTATGTATACAACCTTGTACTGGAGGTACTAGCCAGCGCAATAAGGCAATAAAAAGAAAAAAACATATAGATAGGAAGAAGTAAAAATGTCTTAGCTACAGATCACATCATCCACATAGAAAATCCTAAGGAATCTATAAAAATGCTACTGGAACTAATGAGTTTATCAAGGTTTGGGACACAAGTTCATTAGACAAAAATCTCCACCTCCACAGACAAAAATCTCCATCATCATCTTCCCCCTGCCACACCATATCTGGAGGGCCTGGACATACCACACTCACACCTCCTTTTTGGATCCTAGGCACTATAGATGGGTACTGCTAGGGGGCCATCCTTAGGCCCATCTACCTGCTGTCCTGCTAGGTAACCTGCCTTAGCTCCCATGCACCAAACACCATTTCCTGAGTCCTCTAAAGCAGATGCAGACCTCAATAAGGCAGACTTCCTCAGTCAGTAGAGCAAGCAATAGTAGATCAGTGCTCCATGCCAATCTGGCCTTTCATAGACGGTGGCCATCCATTACTGGCCAGAGCTGCCTGCGGTTAGCCTCTCATGTGTCCATTTTGTAGGAACTGTAGCCTCCAAGTTAATTCTAAGTTTTCAAAGAATCTGGGAGAAGCAGGTGTGTGGTAATAATGACTACTGCAGGCACCAGTCTAGCAATATGGGTTCTACTGACATTTCAGGTACTCCCAGAACAAGAAAGAGGCTTCTGAGGTTGGAGAAAGTCCAATGGCCAATTTGGAGCTAGGGAACATCTAGAGAACAGGTCCTCCTTTTTCGCTGCCCCTGTTGAATTTTCATCTTCAAATCCATTAAAACCCATTGAAAGCCCACCTGTCTTGGGCATTCATAAGACTGGTTTTATTAATAAAAATGAGAGCTAACCATGACTAACACTTGCTTTGTACTGGACACCTTTCAAAATGTCTATTAACTTATTTTCTCTAGTTTTAAGTATCATCATTTTATAGACCTCAAAAAGCTCAGCCACACAGAGGTTATTATTCAGACCATGAACTGAGCAGCAGTGTTAGGATTCCAAATTCAGTCAACCCAAAAAACAAAACAAACACATACTTTTAACTAAGACATATAACATGCAGTCTGGCCTGAAGAATTAGTTTTACTTAAGTAAACATGATAATCTAATAAACTATATTTGTAACTTAGCTGATAAACAGAATATATAAAAATCTCAAACATTATAAGGACTAAAATTTTTTTAACATAATAATTGTTAATTTAGTATAGGTAGAGAGAGGACTGAGCACTATGAACAATACTGTTGGTGAAAAGAGAAATTCTCTACTTATTGAGACTAGGTCATTTAATGACTATCAATTTCCTTGGAAAGTCATTGGAAAAAACTGATATATTTGACAAATCAAAAATCAGGGAGAGGCTTCTTTTAAGAGCCACATCAAGCAAGTAACACAGAAACACTTTTTAAAAATTAAAAAATAATTTGGAAATTATTAGAATAATTAGACAACTTGTATTACAGTTTCTATCTCTTGGTTAGCACTTTTATAAGAGCATAATGTTTACTTTGTAGAATACATTTTTGTCATAGAATATATTTTCAACTCTTAATTACATAATGATTTATGTATTTAATATATATTTCCATACCAGTGATTACATAAGTAATTTTACAACTCCTATACAATGAGGTATCTCCTAAAATTTTTAATATACATAGTTGTAGGCCCATTAATTCCAAAATTAATAATATACAGAAATAAAATCACTAACAGTATTGTTCATAGTGCAGAAAACTGGAAACAAATTCACATTATATCAGTTTAGAGTAGGTTATGCCAACAATCATAGACAACCCTGAACTCTCAGGGGCTTAACACTACAAAGTCTTATTTCTTATTCATACTACATGACCATGAGGGGTTTGGGGAAATTTTATTCTATGTAATTTTTACTCACAGACATAGAATGACAGGAGTTTCATCATCTGTAACATCACAAATTGCTGCAGCAGGAGAGAGTGTGATAGAAGGTCTCACACTACTAATCAAATACTCTGGCACAAGAGTAATTAATGCACAACAGTTCTACCTAAAATTTTGGCCAGAACTTATCATATAGGCTCACCAAGATGGGAATGGAAATCTAATCTTTTCACATGCCCAGAAGGAGACAGGAAAACAACTAGGTTTGGTGATCATAAAAGTCTCTATCACATTTTAATAAATACCTGAATTATGGTACATCCATGAAATATTACTACAGCTATTTAAAAGAATGAATTGGAAGAATGCCATATGTTACAGAGATTTTCATGAGATAGTAAGTAAATTAAAGTCCAGGTGGGACTTTATTATACTTTATTATATATACTGAAAAGTATATATATCATCCCATTTTCATAAATTAACCATGACCAGAGAATCCTGTGTGCATACATGCATATGTGAAAATATGTAATTAAGTACTTTATTATCAACATCTATCTGTCACTGAGAAAAATAGGAAAGATTTTTTTCCCTTAGGAGAGGGAGATTTGGCAGAGGGGGGCCCTGATGTGTGTAGCGAGGGGAAGAAAGAGGGTGAGGACGAAAGCAAAAGGGGGAAAAAAAAGAGGGCACTAAGATTTTATAGGATTATATTTATGTACTGATGTAAATTATGTATATGCATATAGAAAATCAAGTCATTTTTCAAAACTATCTTTTCCTTTTAATTTTGATTGCTTTTATGATTGCCTCAAATTACTGATCTGTTGAAATTAAATCTTTTCAGTTCCCTCCAGCTCTACACTCTATGATTTCAAAACTTAAATAATATTAAGTCTTATCTGTCTCCTACTTGTTATTTCCTATTTCCAACCCAGAGCTGACCTGCCACTGATTAAAGTTCTGGATGTACTTCTATAGCCTGTGGACTATTAATTATACTGAATTCAGGTTGCCTGAATTATAAATAATTTATTTCTAACCTTTATATCAACCAAAGCAAGTTGCTCTTTGACATCATGAATTTACATTTACATGAAGTGGGAGACATTTTATTACTGTTAAAGTGACAAAATCATGGATATTTTTCTTAGGCTAGGTATTAGATATAATCTGAAAGTCTGGAACTTAAATTCTTAGTCTAAGAAATCTTCCCATATCCCACCTGGACTATTTCAATAGCTGCAATAGCTTCACCCTGTTCCAATTTACCTTTAATGAGCTTTCTAAAGATTGCTATTTCTTCTGCCTTAATTTTCTCTTGTCCTTCTTATACACCTATAACATTTTTTTTTAAAGAGAGAGCGAGCATGTGAGTTGGGTGGAGAAGGGTAGAGGGAGAGAGAGAATCTTAAGCAGGCTCCACACTCAGGAGAGAGCCCGAAGCAGGGCCTAATCTCACAACCCTGAGATCGTGACCTGAGCAGAAATCAAGAATCAGTCGCCCAACTGACTGACCCACCCAGGCACCCCTATAGTATTCTTATTTATGTCCAAAACTCATCTCTTCTAGAAGGCCTCAGAAGCCAAAACACGAAATTATCTTTCATGTCTCTGTACCTTACATTTACATACTGTTGAGTTACTTACATTATGATTCAATTGTTTACACATTTATATGTTTTTATTATGTTCAGTTAGCCACCATATAGTACATCATTAGTTTTTGATGTAGTGTTCAAAGATTCATCAGTTGCATATAACACCCAGTGCTCATCACAACACGTGCCCTCCTTAATACCGATCAACCTGGCTACCCCATCCCTCCCCTCCCCGAAACCCTCAGTTTGTTTCCTGGGGTCCATAGTCTCTCACGGTTTGTTTCTCTCTCTGATTCCCACCCCTTCAGTTTTCCCTCCCTTCCCCTATGGTCTTCTGTGCTATTCCTTATGTTCCATATATGAGTGAAACCATATGATAATTGACTTTCTCTGCTTGACTTATTTCACTTAGCATAATCTCCTCCAGGCCCATCCATGTTGATGTAAAAGTTGGGTATTCATCCTTTCTGATGGCTGAGTAATATTCCATTGTATATATGGACCACATCTTTTATCCATTCATCTGTTGAAGGGCATCTTGGCTCCTTCCACAGTTTGGCTGTTGTGGACACTGCTTCAAGGGGGTCTCTTCAATAAATGGTGCTGGGAAAACTGGACAGCTACATACAGAAGAATGAAACTGGACCATTCTCTTACACCATACACACAAAGATAAACTCAAAATGGATGAAAGACCTCAAGGTGAGATAGGAACCCATCAAAATCCTAGAGAAGAATATAGGCAGTAACCTCTTTGACATCAGCCACAGCAACTTCTTTCAAGACACATCTCCAAAGGCAAGGGAAACAAAAGCAAAAATGAACTATTGGGACTTCATCAAGATAAAAAGCTTCTGCATAGCAAAAGAAATAGTCAACAAAACTAAGAGGCAACCCACAGAATGGGAGAAGATATTTGCAAATAACAGGGCACATAAAGGGCTGGTATCTAAGATCTATAAAGAATTTCTCAAACTCAACACTCAAAAAACTAATAACCCAGGCAAAAAAGGGGCAGAAGACATGAACAGACATTTCTGCAAAGAAGACACACAAATGGCTAACAGACACATGAAAAAATGTTCAACATCACTAGCCATCAGGGAAATTCAAATCAAAACCACAATGAGATACCACATTACACCAGTTAGAATGGCAAAAATTAACAAGGCAGGAAACAACAAATGTTGACAAGAATGTGGAGAAAGGGGAACCCTCTTACATTGTTGGTGGGTATGCAAGCTGGTACAACCACTTTGGAAAACAGTATGAAGCTTCCTCAAAAAGTTAAAAATAGAACTACCCTATGACTCAGTAATTGCACTACTAGGTATTTACCCCAAAGATACAGATGTAGTGAAAATAAGGGGTACATACACATTTATATTTGCTACTGGACATCAAGTCATTGAAAGCAGAGATTATACATCACATATATAATCTCAAATCCAATGATTTATGCTTTCAGGTATTGATACTCAGAAGGATTTGACACAGGGGAATACTCCCTTCTTGAATCACTTTGCTCTTTAAGATTCCATGACCCCTTACACTTCACCTGTCTCTCCTTAATCTTTGCAGCAACTCCTCTATTGCTTGACTTTTAAGTGTTCCAGTATCCCAAGGCTCAGTATCAACTCTTTTCTCTTCTATAACTATACACTCCCTATCCATAAAGAGAGTGCATTCAGTCCCAAGCTTTAAATGGCATGTATATGCCAATGACTACTAAATAATGACCCTCCTGGAGAACTGCAGATTCATTTGTTCAATGACCTACTCAACCGCTCCACTTAGATATCTGAGATATTTCAACTATTACATAGTGCCTCCCCCCCCAAAAAATATTACATAGCTTAAAATAGAACTTCAAGACCCAACTTTGCTCCTTCTCTCCCTCACCTCATTCTTATTTCAGGCCATTATGTCAGCAAATCTTTTTGGTGTTTTTCCCCTTTTGCAGCAACCTTGGAAGCCAGTTGTTGAGCAAGGCAGAACTAAAAGTTGGAAGGAGCCAGGTTTTCTGAATCACTGCCTGAGGAATGCTGCTCTCTAAATATGAACATTTATGTTGGACTTTAGAGAAGTGAGAAGTTGATGAATTATCAGCCAGAGAAGCTAGCATTACCTCAACTAACACACTCGTCTTGTTTTATTTTAAAATGTTTGAAAATACATAGCTTCAAATATGAAATATCACAATATCGGGCGCCTGGGTGGCTCAGTTGGTTAAGCGACTGCCTTCGGCTCAGGTCATGATCCTGGAGTCCCGGGATCAAGTCCCACATGGGGCTCCTTTCTCAGCGGGGAGTCTACTTCTCCCTCTGCCCTTCCCCCCTCTCATGCTCTCTCTCTCTAATAAATAAATAAATAAATCTTAAAAAAAAAAAAGAAATCTCATTATCAAGACTAATAATGCTCTAAAAAATACTTGCTCAGGAGACTAATTATAAGATTTCAATTAAGATATCAGACGCAGAAGTCCCAAAGCCATATCCAGGTTTATTTATTTATTGTCTATTTCCCTCACTAAAATGTAAGCTCTAGAAGAACATAGGGTTTATTTTTCTGTTTTGTTCATTGTCACATCTCCACTATCTAGAACTGTACTTGACTCTTAGTGGGCACTCAATAAATATTTGCTTAAATTAATGAGTGCTGAATAAATAATGTTAGGAAGCCATACTGGTATAGTCTTTTTTTTCCTACAACAAAAGGCATTTCTCAATTTTATAAACAGATAAAACTGTTTCAGAACTGTGAAACTTCAACAAAATGACCTTAAGATTTAAAAATAAGTATCAACATTGTGATCAGCTGTCCAGATGACCTCACAGAATCAATGAAAAGCATTTATTTGCATCAAGATATTTTAATAAAGAATAAAGAATAAATCTCAATGGATTCCTAGCAGCCAGTGGATAACTTTACAAATTTGAAAAATTAGCTAAAACAGTTTTCATGAATACAAGAAAAGGTAAAAACAAAACACAATCATCTTATTATTGTAATAGAATTACAAGTTTTCAGGTAACATGTGGTAATTTAGGCCAAAACATAAAAATCATAAAAAACAAATTATGCAAATATAAAAAAATCTCAATGTCAGAAAATGTTTGGCTCTTCAGAAAATAAAACATTTTTAAGTTGACTATAAATTTGATGTTATTAGGCTCCTTAATCACATTGATTTTCTGAAATTAAACAAATAGCTTTTCTGCATCCTTTAGTTTTTTTTTCCTATCCATTTTAGCAATTACAGCCCAACGATCTTCCCGCATTTTCCTCATAGCTCCAAACTTCAGCGTAGATCCAGGGGTTGTTAGAGATGAAGGGGTCTGAATACAAAATCAAATCAAATCAAAATATGTTTAATTTAAAAAGATAAAGTCCAGCTTTTGAAATTTGCTTTCTGAAGTAAAAATTTAAAACTACCTTTAAAAAAAAATAAACTACCTTTTTTGGTGTTCTGACACAAAGATGAGAAGTTGTTGGATTATTAGTCTTGTATAATTTTTTCAATGTCTCTTCTTCTGAAACCATGCTCTTAAAGAAAAATACAAAATTATAATTTGGGGTCTGTCATCACTAATATTAAAATTTTGTCTACATATCACAGAGAGGAGGAGAAAGACAAGGAAGGAAAGGGAGGAAGAAAGGAGGTAAAAGAAGGGAGAGGAGAAAGAAGAGAGAAAAAAGAAGAAAAACTGAAGACAATGACAAAATACTCAATCTTCCAAACAAGGACATGGGTTTATATTCTATTAACTATATTGTATTATATGAAATACTAATAACTATACTGTATTATATGAAATACAACATGTATATGAATAGTACTTTTCTACTTCTACTTCAGTTTGTCTTTATACTACTACTTTTCCTTCCACTTTCCCTCCACCTATCTACTCAAACTCACACTTTAGCCTTATAATAAGCATGTATAATCCTATAAAAATTATGTTATCAACTATCGATTTATGGGTATTGTAATTCCCCCAAGTAATAAGAGCTAACACTTATTTAGTACTTTCTTTGTTAGGTGCTGTTTTAAGCACTTTGCCTATTTTAATTAGTTTTAATCCTCACAATAATTTTAATAAATTAGGTATACCATTATTATCCCCTTTTAAAGGTGAAGAACGGAGACAAGAAATGTTACGTACTTTGCCTAAGATTACACAGCTAGTTAAGAGGTGGAGCCAGGATTCAAATCCAGATAGGCTGGCTCTAGAAATCCACTTTCTTAATGAATATGCTACACAGATTTAGTCTGGTAAGCAATCAGTTCACATTCCGTTCCTGCTCACTAATGTCACATTTACAGAGGTCTCATGAATAAAAATATTCAAACAGATTTTCATGAACTCTAAGATTTTAGCAGAATTCAGTAAGTCATAACAAGCTGCCTTTTCAAATACACTCAGAACCACTATGTATCAACTGACCAGCTTTAAAAAGAAAAATTATTTTAAAATCTTGTAAACTATCATTAAAATTTTACTCAGTGAATAGTAATTATTCATTAATGACTGCCCATATAAAAATAATTAACCCAATTTAAAACAAAACCGTATCTGTCCTTATAACTCTGCAACAATCATCTTCTCATGTGCTTATTGGCCATTTGTATATCCTCTATTCAATGTCTATTCAAGTCCTTTGCCCATTTTTAAATCGGGTTGTATGGTTTTTGTTGTTGAGTTATGGGAGTTCTTTATGTATTCCATACATTTATCCCTTTTCAGATATCTGATTTGAAAATATTTTCTGCTATTCTTTAGCTTGTCTTTTGATTTTCTTAATGGTGTCCTTTGATGCACAAAAAGTCTTAATTTTGAAGTCAAATTTATCAGTTTTCTCTTTTCTTGCCTGTGCTTTTGGTGTCATACCCATGAGGCCCTTGCTAAATTTGAGGTCATGAAAATTTCCCCAATATTTTCTTCTGAGAGTTTCATAGTTCTACACTTAAGTTTTGTTTTTTGATCCATTTTGAGTCAATTTTTATATATGGTATAAAGAGTCCAACTTCATTCTTTTGCATGTGGATAACCAATATCCAGTTCTAACACCATTAGCTGGAAAAAAAAAATGTCCTTTCCCCCACTGAATGGCCTTGGCACTCTTGTCAAAAATCAACTGACTATATATGTGAGAATTTATTTCTGGGTTCCTTTATTCCATTGGTCTATATATCTGCCCTTATCCTAGTACTAATCTGTTTAAATTACTAGCTTTGTAGGAAGTTTCAAGGTCAAGAACTATGAGTCCTCCAACATTACCCTTCTTTTCCAAAAGTGTTTTAGCTATTTGGGGACCCTTGCAATTCTATATGAATTTTAGTATCAGATTTTCCATTTCTGCCAAAAAGCTGTTGGAATTTTGATAGAGATTGCACTGAATTTGTGGACTGCTTTGGGTAGGACTGACATTTTTTAAATTATGTTCAATTAGCCAGCATATAGGACATCTTAACATCCATAAACACAGAATATTTTCCTAATTCTTTAGGTCTTCTTTAATTTCCTTCAGCAATGTTTTGTAGTTTTCATTGTATTTCAATATTTCACCTTCTTGGTTGGGTTTGTTCCTAGATATTCTATTTGTTTAGATGATATCATATATGGATTGTTTTCTTAATTTTCCTTAATTTCCTTTTGGATTAATCATTGCTGGTGTATAAAAACATAATCAATGTCATGTGTTCTTATACCCCTCCACATTGCTGAATTCATTTGTTAGCTCTACTAGCCTTCTTGTGGAGTCTTCGTGATTTTCATTGGATAGGATTATGGCATCTGCAAATAGTTTTACCTCATTCTCATTTCTGCTTTCTTTTTCTCTCCCTTTGTTTTTTGTCTAATAGTCTAATAGCTCTGGCTAGAACTTCCAGTACAATGCTGACTAGCAGTGGTGAAAGTGGGCATCCTTGTCTGGTTCTTAACTTAAGGGGTAAGTTCTCAATCTTTCACCATTGAGCATGATTTAGCTGCAAGTTTTCATAAGTATTTTTTTATCATGCTGAGGAATTGTTCCTCTATTCCTAGCTTTATGAGTTTCTATCATGCAAAAATGTTGGATTTTGTCAAATGCTTCTTCTGTACTAATTGAGATGATCATATGGGATTTTTTCCCCTTCATTCTATTAATGGTGACATATTACATTGATTTTCTTATATTGAACCACCCTGGAATTTCTTGGGATAAATCCCACTTGGTCATGGTGAATAGCACTTTTAATATGATGTGGAATTTGACTTGCTAATATTTTGTTGAGGATTTTTACACTGACGTTCATAAAGGACAATGGTCTTTAATTTTCTTTTCTAGTAATGTCTTTATCTTACTTTGGTATCAAGGTAGTGCTGGCCTCATAGAATGAGTTATCAAGAGTTCTCGCTTCAGTTTTTTGAAGTCTGAGAAGGTTAGGTCCTCAAATGTTTGATACAATCTATCAATGAAGCCATCTGGTCCAGGACTTTTCTTTGAGAGGTTTTTGATGACTAAGTCAAATTCTTTACTGACTATAGATAGGCTGTTGAGGTTTTATATTTCTTCTTGAATCAGTTTAAATTGGTGTGTTTCAGGGATTCTACCCATTTGTCCATTTCTTCTAAGTTATGAAATTTGTTAGCATATATTCACAGTATTTTCTTTTTATCTCTAAATAATTAGTAATAATGTACCCACTTTGCATTTCTGATTCTAGTTATTCACATCTTCTTAGTCTAGCTAAAGATTTGTCAAATTTTTTTAATCTTTTCAAATAAACAAATTTTGGTTTCATTGATTTTCTCTATTGTTTTCTATTCTCTAATTTGTTTATCTCCCCTTGAATCTTCATTATTTCCTTCCTCCTGCCTGCTTTGGGTTTAGTTTGCTCTTCTTTTTCTAGTCCATAAAGTGTAACATTATTGATTTGAGATCTTTCTTTTTTAATGTAGGAATTTGGAGCTATACATTTCCCTCTGAGCTTTTGCTGTAACACATAAGTTTTGGTATATTGTGTTTTCATTTTTATTCATATCTAAGTCTTAATTTCCCTTGTGATTTCTTCTTTGATCCACTAGTTGATTAAAAGTGTGTTAATTTCAGGATGCCTAGGTGGCTCAGTTAGGCATCTGACTCTTGATTTCGGCTCAGATCGCAGGGTCCTGGGATCAAGCCCCACATCAGGCTCCCTGCTCAGCAGGGAGTGTGTTTCTCCCTTCACCCTCTGCCTCCTACCCCCTCCTGCCCATGCTGTCTTTCTCTCTCTCTGTCAATCGAATAAATAAAATTTTTAAAAAAGAAACTTAGACATGTGAATCTCATAACTGAATATATCTGCAAATCAGATTATTCCCTTTCCCCAGGGTTTGCTGTAGTGAGTTAGTTTTGTTTTGCTTTATGCTGTACAAGTTTCTGTGCCAGGGACTGGCCTGGGTTAAAAATTTGAGATCTTCTTAGGTTTTTTGTGAGCCTGTCTTTCCATGGGCATGTGCAGTGCTTTTAAATATCCCCAAAATGTGATTGCTCTTGATGTCCTAGTTCTTAAAATGTCTGATCCTCCAAAGAAGAAAAGTGAAAAAAAAAAAATAGGTACAATTCATTTAAATCCTCTGTAAGACACTTTCTGCCAGTGAGGGTTGAAATAGTGGCAGCCAGTTTCTGTGCCTGCACAGTGATGAGAAGCAGCAATGATAATACAGAGCACTGAATCTTGATACTCAGAGAAAAAGTCCGTATTGCTCACCCTGGCTACAGCAAGACATGAGCATGGCTGCCTGCCACAGGACTATGGATTGGATGACAGGTAGTCACTACCATTCTTAAGGCTGAAATTGACCAAAATTAACTGAAGTTGCAAGCATTCAAATAGTCTCCAGAGTTCCAAAATAGTTACTTCAGAGAGTTTCTGCAAGTACAATTGCTGTTTAGGTAGAGAAATAAATTTGTGGTATTTCCTACTCCCCCGTCTTCTCTAAGGTTACTCTAGACAATCCATTTTTAAATCTAACTTTTTATAATTATTTGAATGTTCACCAAAATTTAAATGCAACAATAAGAAAACTACAAAAATAGTAACTTCAAATGATAACTATAACCAAATAAATGGACTGTGAAGTGTCTTTTTAGGCAAGTATAAATAGTTGTGCATACTTATATAATACTATAGTATGTTTACTGTGTTACAAAGTTGTGATGCTCCTTTTAAAAATGAAACCATGAATCATTCTGAATCTCAGCTAAGAAACTGGCCTAAATTCACACTGCTAGAAAAATAGTATGGATTCCAACCCTGGACTGTCTAATTCCAGAGCTCATAGTCTTTCTACTAATTCTCCTTACATTTCTATATATCTGGACTTCAGTCTGAGCTGGCAGTTATTATGTATAATGACTTACATAGGCTATGGAGCTAAACTGTGTTCCAATTTTTCTCCATGCCTTACTAGCTATGTGATCTTGGGCAAGGTACCTGTGTGACTTAGTTTTCTCATCTGTAAAATGAAAATAGCAACATTGTGTACACTTCTAATATGAGATTGTTCTAAAAAATAATCTATATAGTCTTTGCAAAAGTGCTTGGTTCAGAGTTTTAATCATTAAAATGTTAATCATCCTCTATAAAACAAAGAGATACTTAGGTAAGGATTCTATAAATTAACTTCAATAATTAGAATTTTAAGACTTCAGCTCATTATTCCAGAACAAATGAAAACAGAGGGTCCCAAAGCAGTAAAAAAGCTTGAAGGATCGCAAAAGATATAAGTGGCAATAATGAAACAAAGTAGTGCCTTTAACTGGAATTTTGTAATTAAGAATCTTTGGTATATTGTTCATTTTGTGTGATGAGGTTTGTTTTTAAATTAAATGAATCTAAATTTAATTATTCTCAATAAATCAATATTATTACTTTAGAAAATACTGGTATGTGTGGATACACTCATGGCAGGGAATAATTAGTAATACAAACTGCTAGGGATAATATCTTCCTTAAACAACTCATCTTTAATACATTAACTCTTTAAGAATGATAAAAATATTATACTTGTCAACCAATACCTTGATATAGATTTCAACCAATATATAAAATAAGGAACATGTATAATACATAAAATCAAGAGGGTCCCTAAATAACAAATTTAGCCATAGCAAGATTCACCTAACCAATATTTATTAGGAAGGAAGGAAGGAAAGAAAGAAAAAAGAAAAGAAAAGAAAGAAAGAGAAGGAGAGAGAAAAAAGAAAGACAAAAAGAAAAAGAAAGAAAAAGAAAAAAAGAAACGAAAAAAGAAAAAGAGTATGTGGTAAAAACTCCTTTATAACACTCCGCTGGAAAACAAGATGGTTTAATCATCTCATGTGCCAACTATGTTACATCAAGTATTTCAAAATGCCATGTTTTCTGAAGTTAGATTATTTAAACCCTATTTCTCCAAAATGCTGCAAAAGCATAGGGTTCTGTGTTATATAGAGTTCTATATTTTCATATGCAATGGTAAGTACTATGTGTATATATTATACATATACATTAAAAAATAATGTGTAAAAATAATAATGTAAACAAGTAATAAATACTGATTTGTGGTGTTTTTACCAAAAGATCAGTCGTTTCTGAGCTATCCGAATTAATATCAAACTCAAAGACCATTTTTCTCTTTTTATTACTTTCTTCCATGGGTACATTCTTGTTTTCTCTTTGCTGAATTTTTAGTTTCGTTGGTGTCTTCACAGTATATGCCTATCCAAAAAGAAAAACAACATATTATCCCATCAAAAAAAACCTATATTATTAATAAACGCAAGTTGAATCTTCAGTAATAACTCTCCATTATTAGTGGGATGTAGAGACTTTTTATAAGAATTTCATTCAGATATTTTTGATACTAAAACTTCTTTCTTCAAACAATTTATAATAGTGGACTTTTTCTTTGCCCTTCCCTTCTACTTACTGAATAAAATAATGGCAGGAGAGAGGTGGGGAGACAGACTCTCCAGCATCAGCAGTCAACAATCTTAAGAAAAGAGGGACTTTGATTTTTCTAACAATAATTAAGACCAAAGAACTGAATGAGCTTCGCTCTTTCTACAAAAATCCTTACGGATTTATGAGAAATTAGGTATGCTTATATTTTGTTCATAAAGTAATTCACATTAGTCAATGTTTAGTATTCCATATTACCCTGTAAGTTTTATAATTTTTTTTAAAGTATCTTTAAAAAGTTAGGGCAGTGACATCAGCAAAAATGGCAGAGTAAGGTATTCCAAAAATTTGCTCTTTCATAAAGCAATAAAAATACTAGTAAAATGATCAAAGTCAGCTTTTTCAGAACTCTGGAAATTAACCAAAAGCTTGCCACAAACTGTAGTACTTATTTTTTTTTAATGGCTGAACCTCTGTAAGAACAGCAAGCTTTGTGGTGTTTTAACTTTTCTTTATCCCAGCCCCCGTGCTCTATGTTACCCTTAAAAAAATAACATCCCACACTCTTGGTCCAGCCTGAGACCACTAGATAGAGCAGAACAGAATTGAGAGCTCTTTCAAAGCTTTATTCCCAAAAAGTTGTCATTATTTTAACTGTCTAGTGGTTCTCTGAAAGACCTCACTTACAAGGCTATCTGTATTTAACCTGACTTAGAGCTCATTCAGTACAAAAAGCTTTCTCCTTGGTGTGAAGTACAGCATAGAATTTGTCAAAACAATTATAGGCAAGTGTTTTAACTTTGCATCTCCATGAGGCAATAATTTTAACAGGGCAAATGACAGACTAATCAAAAACTTCAAAAGAACAGGTAGGAAATGAGACATCCACAGGGGCTTTGAAAAGCTCTGACATTAATGGAAAAAATAAAATAAAATCTACAGTTAAAAGTGATGTACCAATGTATGTTTCCTAGTTTTGACAAATGTACATGGTAATGTAAGATGTTAACAATGTGGAAAATTGGGTGATAGATATAAAGGAATTCTCTATACTACCTTTGCAACTTTTCTATAAATCTAAAATTATGGTAAAAAAATGTTCTTTTTAAAAAAAGTAAGGTCACCACATCCATGAGAATAGTTAAAATCAAAAAGATAAAAAAATACCATGTGGTGGCAAGGATGTGGAGCAACTAGAACTCTCATTCACTGCCAGCTAGGATGTAAAATTGATGTAATGAATTTTTTGAAAAACATGACTGGCAGTGTGATACAATAAGAAATATATATTTAGTCTTTGTCCCTGGTTCCTGACACAGAACTTCTAAAACCCATGTAATTTCCTGAGTAATAGGGGTGATCAGGGCATCTTTTGGTACAATATTCGGTCTTTGTCCCCCTGTGTTAGGAGTCTTTTGTTATTCAAAATAAGCTCCTTTCAACTGGACCAGGGTTAATGCTAATGAAATAACTGGCAGTAAAGGTCTCCTAGATAACTTCAGGATGCTGGCTGGTCACCAGAAAAACCAAGGCTCGATTAGAAGTTTGTAACCCTTTCAGCTACACCCCTTGACCTCCTGGGAGGGGAGAGGGTTTGGAAATTGAGTTAAACACCAATGGCCAATGATTTAACCAGTCATGCTAGGTGATGAAACCTCCCTAAGAACCCCTAAATGATGGGGTTCTGAGAATTTCCATGTTGGCAAATACACAGAGGTACTGAAATGGTGGTACTCCTGAAGAAAGCATGGAAGTTCTATACCCCCTCCCTCATACCTTGCCCTATTTATCTTTTCCATTTGGCTGTTTTTGAGTTGTATCCTTTATAATAAACGGGTAATAGTAAGTAAAGGAATCTCCTGAGTTCTGAGAATCATTCTAGCAAATTAGCAGACATAAGGAGGGGGGTTATGGGAACCCCAATTTAGAGCCGGTTGGTCAGTAGTACAACAAGGGGCAAACCAGGATTGTAACTAGTGTCTGAAGTGGAAGCAGTCTTGTGGGACTGAACCCTTAACCTGTAGGGTCTACATTAACTCCAGGTAGTGTCAGAATTTAATCAAGTTGTAGGACAACTAGGTGGTGTCTGGAGAATCAAAGAACTGGCATGCGAAAAAAAACCAAACCACATGTTTCATATCACAGTAAAAAAAAAAAACAGCTCAGGCAGTATCTACTAAAATGGAACATATTATACATAACCCTATAACCCAGCAATTTCATTCCTAAAGACATACCCAACCAAAATGCATACAGGTCAAATACCAGAATTTTTATAGCAAGACTATGCATAAAAGCCCAGTCTGGAAACTACCCAAAGTCCACTAACAATATAATAGATAAATAAACTATGGTACATCACACAATGGAATACTATATAGAAATATAAACGGAAAATCTACAACTTCAAGCAACAATATGGATGAGTCCCACAAACATAATATTAAGTGAAAAAAGTCAAAACAAAAATAATGATTCTATTTATAGAAAATTCAGAAACAGGGAAAAGAGAAAATACAAAAACAGGTACATCTAATATTAGAGTTGGAGCAGTATCTGGCCTTGGAGGAGAAGCCAGTGACAAAAAGGGAGGCAAGGTGATAGTAACATTCTGTGCTTTAATCTGAATGCTGGTTATAAAGTCATGTTTAGTTTGTGAAGAATCATCAAGTTGCATAATTAAGATCTGTGCATTTTTCTTGCATATATTTCAATATAAAGTTTTTTTTAAGTAAGGTCATTCTATACAAAGATCACTTCATATTCTGAATAATATAAATACAACAAAATAATTTTATGTAAAAGCCTCTCTAAGTTATGTAGTTTACTAATTTTCATAATTTCCACAGTGTGGATAATATTGTATACATAATAGGATGTGAGAGAGACTCTTCCTTTTGCTCTGGAATTGTCAACTGGGGCACAAAGCTGCAGAAAAAAAAAGTTAGAAACCCATATTCTAAAGAAAGCAACCTATGGTTAAAGCCAGATCCTTCTCTAGGGCTTATTAAAAAGTGGTTAAACTGGCCCTACAATCACCAAACACCTCCTTTCTTCCCAGTTATTTTAAGAAAATTGGAAGGAAAAGGCATCAAATTTCAGCTTAGAGGGACAGAGAGAGGTCGAAATATTTTTCCCTTCAATTTCCAAGGCAGGTGAGGAGACAACTCTTAACAGCAGCCTAACAAAAAATAGGGGTGCCTTCAAGAAGGATTGGCATCTCATTCCCTCACTAGATATAAATTTAGGAAGAAATTTTATCTGTCTTTGTGTCTGGCTGGATAGTTTAGAGTAAAAAGAAATTAGAGAGAGATGGATGGTGGGAGGTGGGGTCAGAAATGTAGCATTCCGTACTGCTGTTTAGCATGGAAATGTTGAATGAATTCCCCATGGATTAAGTGAACATGTGAAAATAGCTAGTAATTGAGCCATCTTGGTGGTGGCACCTGATCCACCGAGGGCTGACTGCTAAGTAAAGGACTCTAGCAACAAGACGATACAAAGTAAACAGCAAACGGTAGTAACTGGAGTGATACTGAAAAATGTTAAGTCAGAATCGGATTTCCCACATCAGGGAATGCCATCAGGTGAGTGACAGAAAGTTATGGAATCTGCCCAAAATGTCATTAAGTTGTGGACAGTGATATTAAAAAACAAAACAAAACAAAACAAAAACACTATTTCATGCTGGTATCACAAAAATTGAATTGGTTTTATATTTATATGTGTGATATCAGATATATGGTATATGATACCAGAACCTTCTTTAACTAAAAAAATTATGACCTTCTTAGAAACTTTAGCAACCAACCTTTGGTAATGGTGTAGATAAAGTACTTTTGGTAGATGTCCATAAATAGTCCCTTTTATCTTTGGATTTACCATGGTCAGCTGATGTGAAGTTTCGAGATATATTTTGTGAAGGAGCTGCTTTAGAATCAAATTTCCAATAATGAGTTTCAGGTGTTTCCAATAAAGGTGTCGGTATTTTCTATATTGAACAACAAAAGGAAATAAAATCATCACTACGTCATTTTAATTAAAGTGCAGCAATTAGTAGAAATAACACTGGAATAAACTAGAATTTATCCTCAAATTTATTATTAATTAGATAACTTTGAATAAATTATCCTTATCTTGTCACTTTATTTCCCCATTGAAGATGAAAATGGTATCTGCCTTTCTGTCTTCACAGAGCTGCTATGAAAAGAAATAAAATGTCTCAACTCTCTAACTGACTAAAAGTTGACGATTTGTTGAAGAGAAAAATCTCTATTCCTGCTGGCAAAGAGCCTTTCTTTGTGGTTCATTACAATAGTCTAAAAGCCAGAGGGCAGTTTATTCTCATTTCTATCCATTCTCTTTTATGCTTTCATATTTCCTCTCTCTCATCTATAAAAATATCAGCCTTTTCCTATCCACCAGGCTTACTCCCCACCAAAAAAAAAAGAAAGAAAAGAAAGGAATATAGCAAAGAAAAATAATAAAAGTAAAGAACCAGAAAAAATTTCCAGGAGGAGAAAAATGACTGTTGTCCTCAATTCTGAAGATAAACAAATTACAAATTTACTCTAAATACTTAGACTTTATTTCAACTCAATTTCTTCCATTTTCTTTCTCTCTACCTTTATATGTATCTTCCCTTCAGACCTGACCTATCTTTCTGTAAAAGTTCATAATAACCGCTTTAGTGGAATTGTGTTTAGCTGCTTTCTAATTTTATCACTTCCTTTGATCACCACCATCTCCATGAATACAATCGTGGCAATTACAAGAAAAAAATGGAACACGCGTGCACACACACATACACATACACACACACACACACACAGCTATTCTCAAAAGTTCAATGGTTAAATCTGCAGTAAATTTAAGTTAGGAGGCTATAGAATGCAGGATTAAGAGGTAACCACATGTGCTATAAAAACACGGACTAATTGATGGACGAATAGATAAGGAAGATGTGGTATACACACACACAGAAGAATATTACACAACTGTAAAAAAAGGATGAGATTGTGCCATCTGAGACACCATGGATGGACCTCAAGGGTATTATGCCCAAGTGAAATAAGTAAGACTGAGAAAGACAAATACCATATGATTTCACTCATGCGGAATCCAAAAAAATGGTTAAGTGAATAAACAAACAAAAAAGCAGAATCAGACCTATAAATGCACAGAACAAACTGATAGTTATCAGATGTGGGGAAGATGGGCAAAACAGATGAAGGGAAATGGGAAATACAGGCTTCCAGTTAGGGAATGAATAAATCATGGGAATAAAAGGCACAGCATAAGGAAACAGTCAATGATATTGTAATAGCAATGTAACAGGACAGAAGATCAGCATAATGTACAAACTTGTTGAATCACTATGTTGTACACCTGAACTTATGTAACACTGTGTGTGTGTGTGTGTGTGTGTGTGTATAACAATCATTGGACCAGGAGTCAAGTAATAGGCTCTTTTCTCCTGGATCTTATACTATCTTGCTGGGTGATATTAAGTAATCTCCAAGTATCTCTAGGCTTAAATTTATCCATCTATATAATCAAGGGACTAAAAGATGATTTGTAAGTTTCTGCCCAGTTCTAGTGATCTCAGTTCACAATCCTCTTTCCAGCAGGTATAAATTTTGGTAGCATTTTTTCACACAGTTGTATTTCTGTATTCTCCTTCCTATATATTTCTACATCATAGGTGATAATACAATTTTCATGAAAGCAAATTTTTTCTGTTTTCATGGACAAATTTTTCTCTCCTCAAAAGCCTGAGAATGACAACTACACCATCTTGTGGCCAAGTCTGGGAATTTAACACTTCAGCCCGCTTGAAAGAAAATGCACCCCATTTCTAGAATACGGAAATAAACCTCTTCATAATAAGTCATAGAAATGCATGTACTTTCCTACAAGTCACATTCTTTTCTGAATGTTACACTTCCAGTGATGCATGTACAAGCATATCTCATTTCATTGCACTTCATTTTATTGCACTTCACAGATGCTGTGTTGTTTGGTGTTTTTGGTTTTTGCAAATTGGAAGGTTTGTGGAAACCCTGATCCAGACAAGTCTATCAGCACCATTTTTCCAATAGCATTTGCTCGCTTAGTGTCACTTGTGTCACATCTTGGTAATTTTTTTTTAAAGATTTTATTCATTTATTTGACAGAGAGAGAAAGAGCACAAGCAGGCAGAGTGGCAGGCAGAGGGAGAGGGAGAAGCAGACTCCCCTCTGAGCAGGGAGCCGGATGCGGGGCTCGATCCCAGGACTTTGGGATCAAGACCAGAGCCGAAGGTAGATGCCTAACCAACTAAACCACCCAAGCACCCCACATCTTGGTAATTCTTACAATATTTCAAATTTCTGCATTATTATTATTATATTTGTTATAGTAATCAGTGATTGGTGATCTTTGATGTTACTATTGTTTAGGGACACCATGAACCACATCCATATAAGATGGCAAACTTAACTTAAATGCTTTATGTGTTCTGGCTGCTCCACTGACGTACTATTCTCCATCTTTCTCCCTTTCCTTGAGCCTCCCTATTCCCTGAGACAAAACAAAACTGAAATTAGGCCAGTTAATAACCCTACAATGGCTTCTATGTGTCCAAGTGAAAAAAAAGTCACCCGTCTCTCACTTTAAATCAAAAGCTAGAAATGATTGAGCTTAGAGAGAGGAAGGCATGTTGAAAGCTGAGGTAGGCCAAAAGCTAGGCCTCTTGCACCAACCACTTAGCCAAGTTGTGAATGCAAAGGAAAAGTTCTTGAAGGATACTAAAAGTGCTACTTCCAGTGAGCACACAAATAAGAAAGTGAAACAGCCTTTACTGATATGGAGAAAGTTTTAGTGGTCTTGATATAAGATCAAACCAGTCATAATTCTACGTTAAGCCAAAACCTAATCCAGAGCAAGGCCCTAATTCTCTTCAATTCTGTGAAGGCGGAGAGAGGTGAGAAGCTGCAGAAGAAAAGTCTGAAGCTAGCAGAGGTTGGTTCATGAGATTTAAGGAAAGAAGCCGTTTCCATAACGTAAAAGTGCAAGGTGAGGAGTGCCTGGGTGCCTCAGTCTTAGGTTAAGCATCTGCTTTGGCTCAGGTCATGATCCCAAGATCCTGGGATCCAGCCCCTAGTCAGGCTCCCTGCTCAGCGGGGAATCTGCTTCTCCCTCTCCCCTCTGCCCACCCCCCACTCATGCTCTCTCTCTCTCAAATATATAAAATCTTTAAAAAAAAAAAAAAAAGTACAAGGTGAAGCAGGAAGTGTTAATGTAGAAGCTGCCGCAAGTTATCCAGAAGATCTAGCTAATTAAGTACTGAAGGCATCTAAACTAAAGAGTTTCAAGGTAGGCAAAACAGCCATATATTGGAAGATGATTCCATCTAGGACTTTCATAAGCAGAGAGAAGAAGTCAATGCCTGCCTTCAAAATTTCAAAGGACAGGCTGACTCCCTTATTAGGGACTAATGCAGCTGGTGACTTCAAGTTGGAGCCAGTGCTCATTAACCATCCTGAAAATCCTAGGGCCCTTTAAGAATATGATAAATCTACTTGCCTATGCTCTATAAATAAAACAACAAAGACTGGATGACAGCATATCTGATTACAACCTGGTTTAACCAAATATATTAAGCCCACTGTTAAGACCTACTGCTCAGACAAAAAGATTCCTTTCAAAATATTATTGCTCATTGACAATGCACCTGGTTACCCAAGAGCTCTGATGGAGATGTACAAGATTAATGTTGTGATGCCTGCTAATACAATATCATTCTGCACCCCATGGATCAAGGAGTCATTCTTTCAAGTCTTATTATTTAATAAGAAATACATTTTGTAAGATGATAGCTGCCATAGATAGTGATTCTACTGATGATCTGGGAAAAGTAAATTGAAAATCTTCTGGAAAGAATTCACCATTCTAGATGCCATTAAAAATATTTGTGATTCACCTGGGTGGCTCAGTTGGTTAAGCGACTGCCTTCGGCTCGGGTCATGATCCTGGAGTCCCGGGATCGAGTCCCGCATCGGGCTCCCTGCTCAGCAGGGAGTCTGCTTCTCCCTCTGACCCTCCCCCCTGTCATGTGCTCTCTCTCTCTCTCAAATAAATAAATAAAATCTTTAAAAAAAAAAATTAAAAAAAAATATTTGTGATTCATCAGAAGAGGTCAAATATCAATATTAACAAGAATTCAGAAGAAGTTGATTCCAACCCTCATGGATGACTATAAGGAGTTCAAGACTTCCCTGACAGAAATAACTGCAGATGTGGTGGAAACAGTAAGAAAACTGGAATTAAAAGTGGAGCCTGAAGATGTAACTTAATGGCTGCAATCCCATGATAAAACTTTAACAAGTGAGGAGTCGCTTCCTATGGATCAGCAAAAAGAAGTGGTTTCTTGAGATGAAATCTACTCCTGGTGAAGATTGTTGAAATGACAACAAAAGATTTAGAATATTATGTAAACTTAGTTGATAAATCAGCAGCAGCATTTGAGAGGATTTATTCTGATTTTGAAAGAAGTTCTAACTGTGGGTAAAATGCTATCAAATGGTTCATGAAAGGAAGAGTCAATGAAGCAAACTTCATTGTTGTCTTTTTTACAAAATTGCCATGGTCATCCCAACTTTCAGCAACCATTACCCTTGATCAGTCAACAGCCATTAATAATATCAAGGCAAGACCCTCCACCAGCAAAAAGATTACAACTTATTGAAAGCTCACATGATGGTTAGCATTTTTAAGCAATACAATGTTTTTTTAAAGATTTTATTTTTTTCCATTTTTTATTATGTTCAGTTAGCCAACATATAGTATTTTAAAATTAAAGTATGAACATTGTTTTTTAGACATAATGCTATTGCACACTTAACAGACCACAATACAGTGTACATATAACTTTTATATGCACTGGGAAACCAAAAAATTCATTTTACTTGCTTTATTGTGATATTCACTTTGCTGCATTGGTCTGGAACTGAACCCACAAGATCAAGGTATGCCTGTATACATAATATTCACGATTTTCTGTTGTATTTTTATTTTTTTAAATTGAAGTAAAATTAACATATAGTATTATATTTGTTTCAGGTGTACAATATAACGATTCAACAATTCTATACATTACTCAGTCCTCATCGTTGTATTTTTTAAAACAAACACTTATATGGCATTTCCTATGTGCCAAGCACTATTTATTTACAAATGCCTTACAAATATTATCTCATTTAATCCTTTTAACAACTTTAAAAAATATATACTATTCATTATCCCTTTACAGTTGAACAAGCTGAGGCATAAAGAAGTAACTTGCCCAAATCAGAAATATTTGATAAACCTAATAATTATTATATATATGGCTTATGATATTTCAATATTGTTGGAATAAAGTATAGCAAATAAAAGCCTATTTAAATTTTTTATTCTTTTATTACTTCCTCATTATTTGCAATTTATATATCCAGAACCTCAGATAAAATATATGGCATTTACTAATCTACTTGAAAGCAGAAATAAATAATGGGCATATTTTACTGGAATTATACGTGACCCAAAACAACTCCATAAGAATATGTGATATATACTTTCATAATCTGAACACATTCTATATTTGGAAATGAATATTAGATGCTCCTTACCTATTTATGAACAAAAAAAAATTTCCAGGTAGATGTTAGAAAACAAGCTGAGTTATAAAGAAAAACCAGGAAAATTATATAAAACTCTTACCTTATCTCTTTTTTCGAGAGTAACTATGTTCTCTTTTGCCTCTCTTTTGAGTTTTTCCTATTAAAAATGAGTGCACACAATGTAGTCACTACTATTATCAAAAATTAATGTTATTATCAAAATACTTCTAAGAAGTATTAACAAAGAAAGAATACTAAACTCTAAATCTTATAAAATAATGAAAAGAAAAAAAGAAAAACAAATTAGTTTCTTTCTACAGAGCTTATTTAGTTTTGATTATCTTTTTTTAAAATTCTGATCTGTCCAGTATGTATCTGTGGAATCTTGGTAAGTCTTTTAAAACTCTGAATCAACTTTCTCATTTGTAAAATGAAGTGGATGGATCAGATTATAGATGAAGAAATACACAAAAGTAGCTAACTGTAAAGAGCTATAAAGAGATCCAAAATATTATGGGCTTTTAGAGGCAGAATTCAGTTTTTCTGTGCATTGAGAAAGGGTACATTTCAGTTGGACCTTGAATAATGAACTTTTAACATGAGATAAACAAGGATGAGGGGGAAAGAAAGTACAAAATACTTAGGAAATAATACATCACTTTTGCTGGAGATTAGGGTGTATATATTCAGTAGAGAAAAAAGAAAAATTAACTCTGGCCTACAAAAAAGAATATGTACTATGCCTTTAATATGATAGTCACCTGGAGAACACAATTGTTACAGCCCCCAGGAAGGCTTCAAGGACGCAGAGAAGGGAAAGTTCCAACAGAGAACTTTAAGCAAACTTGCCTTGCCTGCCTATGAGGTCTATGCCAATATCAACCTTACTGAATGCTTTGTGTACACCATGCTATCTCTCCCACAGTGTTGCTCCTAACGAGAGAACTCACTTCACCATGAAGAAGCTGGTAGTAAGCTAACGTAACAGTAATCACTATTCTTATTGTGTATCCTATCAATGACCAATAGTTGATCTTCAGTTATAGTGACAACTGGGATCTCCAATAAAGGGCTAGAATACTCTCTTCTAGGATAAATTATATCCTCTGTACTAGCAAAATTGCACTGCCTCTCAGAGGACTTCTAGAGGCTTCTAGAGGACAGAAGGGAGAAAGCACCTCCCATGACTGCATTGTCTCTATAAAATTCTGGAGACTTTTGCTGGTCTGGAGATCTTACTTACAGTCTGTTCTAATACAACATGTGTTTCCAAGGTGTGAATTATTAGCTCATACACAAACATATATCTTTAGTAGTGGTTAACTAATCATGAGTTCCCTAAGACCAAAGAGATAGGCAGTCCACTATGGTCCCTATTTAAATTGGATATCAAATATGCCTATAATATGGTCTGACAAACAGACAATTGACTTCAGCCACAGGAATAGAGAATGATGGCCCTGTACCCAAATTTCAAACTTGAATAAATTTATAAACCTAGAATCCTCCAAATTAAAAGAAAGCCTGGTAACTGTTGTAGAAGGATTTTGCAATAATATCACAAATACATACATTATCCCTTCTACTATCTTGTGCACTGAGAGAGATACTAAGACTTATGGGTAATTGGACATTGACTATTAACTAACACCAATTATTATAACCCAAAATGTTACTATTTTGTCATTAGTTCAAGTGCAGGTGTATTGGAGTCAGGTGATAAATGGCATTTAATCCAAGTCTACCTTACAATGAGCCCATGGAACCATAAACCTAATCTGTGGTCATTTCTTAAGATCCTAAAGTCTGAAAAGATAAACTCAAGTAAGTGCCATAATCTCCATATTGGTTCTAACCACAAAATGAGAGTTTTTAAGTTTAGAAGGACCAACTGGAAGACTCTGAAACTTTCCTCCATATCAAGAATATAAACAAATATATCAAATGCCACATCTCACCTAGGCAGAGATTCAGGTCCATCAAACCGTGAAAGATGTAGAGAAGGTGATTTATCACAGTCCCACAAAGCCAACTTAATTGGAAAATTAAATTCACTGTTATCCAGTAACAGTTTTGTCATACCAATGGGTAAGTAACAGAGGCCAAAATAGGGATTGTGTATTGATTAGGATCAAAAATGAGAACTAAGAAAAAAGTTTCATATAAAAGATGAACTTATTTTGCAATAATATCACAAATACATACATGATCTCTTTATGAATATAGATGCAAAAAATCCTCAACAAAATACTAGCAAACTGAATCTAGCAGAATATAAAGAATTTAACCAGAACCATGGTTAAAGAACAAATACATGTTTTTATTAATCTTGACAACATAAATTAACAAAATAAATATCAAAATTGTGTATGTGGAAGAAGAGGCAGTACGAGAAAGTGTTAGATATATTGTTTAAAAATATAAAGGTAACCAGTAAAATAACTGAAAGTACTACACACACCTTTTAAATCAACCAGACACACACACACACTTTAAAGAAAAATAAAATAAATATTAATATGTCATGTAAAATAAGATGACAAAAACATGATTCAATTATATATCATATCGATAAGGGATTAATAACCATAAGGAACTCCTATAAGTCAACAACAAAAACAACAACTAAAAAATGGGCAAAGGACTTGAATAGACAATTCTCCCAACAAGATATACAAATCACTAACAAGGGAAGGAAGTAATTGAGAATGTCAAAAACAAATTCAACAACAAAAACATACAATCTTATGCCATAATTTGTGATTCTAGTGAGGCTCAGCATGAGAGCCACACAGAGTATATTTGTGCTGATTTGACTCTAGTCAATATGGCTCTTAACCTAATCACCACTTGCACAATATTGGTGAAAGTAGACACAAATAACAAAGAGAATAACTGTCACTAATATACCTGAATTGATAATAAGTATCTGAGGGGTAAGTGGGCAGTCCATAAAAAAAGAGGCCTAGAAAATGCAGAGAGAGTGAAAATTTCAGAAAAAATGACTAAATTTTTTCATTTTGGTCTCTCTAGTCTGGACAAAGAAAGCACAACAACCACGCCCATAAAGAATTAATTATCCTTGCCAATAAATAGAACATACTAGCAATAAAGTCAAAAGACAAGTTTCAAAAAAAAAACAAAACAAAAAGAAAGAAAAGATTCCCCTGAAAGAGCAGAAAACACAAAAATAAGTGATTCACTGAAAAAAACACATGAATTTTGTCCTTTTCCTTGGTCCCCTCTTATCACCCTGTAAGTAGAATATACCAAATCATAATATCCTTATCTTTTCCCTCATAAAATTGGGTAAGGAAATACAGCTTGAAGAGAGATTAGTAATATGGCAAAAAGTGAGTAACCATACACACACACACGCACACGCATGTACTGGAATATTACTTAGCCATGAAAAAGAGAGATCTTGCCATTTGCAGCACCATGAATAGACCTAGAGAGTATTATGCTAAATGAAATAAGTCAGACAGAGAAAGACACATACCATATGATTTCACTTATATGTGGAATCTAAAAACACAAATGAACAAACAAACAAAGCAGAAACAGACCCATAAATACAAAGAACAAACTGATGGGTTGCCCAAGGGGAGATGAGTGGTGGGCTCACAAAATGGGTGGTGGAAAATAGAAGATACAGGCTTCCAGTTATGGAATGAATAAGTCACAGGGATGAAAGGTACAGCATAGAAAATATAGTCAGTGATATTGTAATAGCATTGTATGATGACAGAGGGTAGCTACACTTAGGGTAAGCATAGCATAACATATAGAGTTGTCTGAATTTCTATGTTATACACCTAAAACTAATGCAACATTGCATGTCAAAATACTTCAATTTTAAGAAAAAGAATAACCACAACTTATCCTCTCAGATAGATACATGGGCTCTAGGGCTTCACATTGAGTTGGTGGAAAGATCTGAAGACTGAAGATAAACACATTACAAGAAAACTGCAGACCAATATCTCTTTATGAATATAGATGCAAAAAATCCTCAACAAAATACTAGCAAACTGAATCTAGCAGAATATAAAGATTATACATCATGACCAAATAGGATTTCTCCCAAGAATATAAGATTGGTTTAACATCTGAAAATCAATTAATGTAATACTTTGTATTAATAGAATACAAAACCACACAATCACCTCAATATACACAGAAAAAGCATTTCACAAAATCCAATGTGCTTTTATAATAAAAACATTCAACAAATTAGGAATAGAAAAGAACTTTCCCAACTTGATAAAGAGCATCTAGGTAAACTGAATTTCATCAAAATTAAAGAGTCTCTGCTACAAATAATACCATCAAGAAATAAAAAGACAATCCACAGAATGGAAGAAAACATTTGCATATCCTACATCAGATAAGGGACTGGTATCTAGAATATATAAGAATTCTTAAAACTCAAAAATAAAAAAACAAATAACCTAATTTTTAAATGGGTAGAGCATCTGAATATACATTTCTCCAAAAAAAAATATACAAATGGCAATAGCACATGAAAAGATGATAACATTATTAGGCATTAAAGAAATACAAATCAAAACAACGATATACCATGTCACACTCACTAGAATGACTATAATCCAAAAAAGTGTTTCTGAGGATGTGGAAAAATTGGGACTTTCATGCACTGATAGTGGGAACCCAAAATGGTAAAATTGGCTTGGAAAACAGTTGGGCAGTACCTTAAAATGTTAAGCATAGAAATATAATATTATCCAGCAATTCTACTCCTACATATATAACCAAGAGAAATGAAAACATATACCCACACAAAATCTGTACACAAATATTCATAACAGCATGATATATAATAGTCAAACTAGAAACAACTCAAACTTCCATCAACTGATGAATGGGTAAATAAAACCTAGTATAGCCACACAATAGTATACTATTTAGCAATAGAAAGGAAATACTGATATACGCTGGGATGTGAATGGACCTTGAAAACATAATGTTAAGTGAAAGAAGCAGTCACAAGACCATATATTATATGATTCCATGTAAGTGAAATATCCAGAATAGGTGAATCAATAGAGACAAAAAGTAGCTTGATTAGTGGTAGCCTGGAGCTGGTGGATTTGGCGATGGAAAAAAAGGAGGGGATAATAACTGCTGATGTAT